CCACTGGCTGGTCAGAATTGAGGTTGGGAGTCTGCAGCCCTAGACAACAGACCCTTGCATTCTCATCAGGGCAGTGATTGTGTTTTCTTGTTCAGGCTCGTCACAGTCAAATACTTGGGCGCGGAAAGCTCGGCAAACTGATTTGTATTGTAGTTCAATATGTAAGAACGCACGGTTTCACTTTCAGCATTGTTTGACATGCTGTTTGGGCACAGGATTTTAAGGAAATCTTGGAACGGACTGCTATCATGTTTCACACAAGAAGAAGTGTGGCGCCACGGCGCGCATTGCCCTTGTGAGGCGGTGGGTGTGCACGTGCTGCTGGAAGCATGCCCTGTGTCTCCCAAGCTCAAGGCTGGGAAGCGCTTGTGTCCAGGCTGGAGCTAAGTCAGGCCATTGGGGGTTTGACCGTTTTTGACCATCCGCAATAAGATGCTTTGAGCTGTATTCTTGGACAAAGTCACGACATGGACCGCAACAAGCCTGATGCTTTGATCAAACACTGCTTTGGAATTGTTAGTTCTTTGTGCTAATCCATGTGGAGACTGCGTGAGTTCATAGTCAGGCAAACAGCACGTGCTTGTGCTTACAGTTACGGCGCTGGTTGGAGTAGCCATCCCTGCCACTGTGATCGGTCAGCAAGCGCGACAAAGGCAACGCAGCACCGCGGGCAAAGAGCAAGCGAAGAGCAGGTAGTGAACATAGGACAAGATCGGCAACCTGAGAGACCCAGAGTTTGACTGTATAAGCGTTTGTCTACTGCCCACTGCTTTTGTGTCGCAAGCGCTGGTAAGGTAACAGGGTAATAAAGTTTAAGAGAGACACACGCCCAAAGTTTGCAAGGCGACGGTGTTTCCAGGTGGCGCCTCCGCGCGCCCAGCCAGCTAGTTTTGAGGCTAGCCTGGGTGCTCGTCGTGACCACGCTGACAGCAATGAACCAAAACGGTCTGCGCACGCTATGAACTTTCTTCTCAGCTTTTGGCGAACGTGTCGTTTGTCTTCCCGGTCGCCTTGTTCTCTTACTGCTCGCTCACTTTGTTTAGCCTAATTGGCCTTAAATCAGGGTCCGTGCGAACTGCGTCTGCAACATCATTGACATGACCATGCTGCTGAGCAACTGAGCGCATTTGCTTTTCTGTCGACCGTGGCGCATGTTGTTCACCTCGACTACGCAAAGCGCAGGGGTCTCTATCCGTTCTTCGTGCGTGTGGAGAACCGGTGGCTTTCTTGAGGCAAACGCGCTGGATTAAGCTCGATCTCGAGTTCTGTCCATGACAGCGTTGTGTAACTCTTTCGCTTGGTGAGCGTGTAGATGAAGAGCGTTCTGCGTTGCCGGGAAGTTTTCGGCGCGCCCGCTTGGACAAGGGCAGGAAAAGAAACCAGTGTAGAACACATAGCTGAACCAGGGCTTCCACGGCTGATGACTAAAAGAGTCAATGTCTGCAAACCAACGCAAGAGGTGTTGACGGCTGCTCACAAGAGTTTTGCCTTCAGGCGATGTGTCAACTTATATCATCTCCTGGCGGCGTCGCAAGAGACCGCGCAAATGGGGAAGATTCAGGTGACTTCACTTGTCATACGTTGCTTGCTTTTTTAGGTTCGGTGTGACAAAGATCATGAAGCAAAACTATGTCACGCGTCGGCAAGCCAAACTGATGTCAGGGGAATGGGCTTTGCTTCGTTTTGTTGGTGCGCCTGAAATCAAGCATTGTGACAGGTGTTGACCATCCGCGGCAGCATGTGGCAGAAGCGTCAGGCTGTGCGAGCGATTTTGGAGTGCCTTGGTCAAACGCAGAACCCCGCTTCCCGTCCGATCTTCCCGCCCAGCTCCACCCCGAGTCCAGTTTATACCCAGTCCAGTTCATCCCAGTTTTGCAGCCCAGCCCAGTCCCTCCAACTTCCAGTTCAGCTTCCGTCCAGTCCGTCCAGTTCCCACTCCGCTAGAACACTTGTAGCTACACCGGCGTGTTGCAGCATGATCGGCGCTGTTCTTGATGTGGTGCTTTGCTTTGAAGATGCTGTGGGACGCAGCCCAGGCGACTAGTGCCACGTGAAGGCTGCTTGTCACTGCATCTTGGAGCGGAGTTATTTAAGTTGCAAATTTGACCGGCCACAAATGAAATCTCGTATGAGTCGAACACGCAATGTAGGCGCTGCCCTTGAAAAGCCAATGGCTGACAGAGCAGACGCACGACTCACAGCTTTGGCCTGTTTCGTAGTCTCCTAGGCTTCTGCCCAGCGCGGGCTTCACGGCGCTGCAAGCACCGGGGCTATGGGAAGGCCTGCCCCTTGTCCTTCGGGGCCGGAGCGGATTGAAAGTCCCAGCCGGTTGGTTTACCCTGAGATAGCCGGAGATAAGCGGGTGAAGAAGGGTGGCCTCAGACCGGCCGCCGAAAGGGAGCTTTCCAGGGAAACACTGAAAAGGAAGTAGTCAGAGGATGGCCTTGACTGCCATGTTTCTCTTTTTCCTGGCCCTTGAACGAGGATGCCACGTGATCATGGAGAACCCTGCTGGGTCAATGCTTTTTTCCTGAAAATGCACATCAAGTTCACCCAGACACAAGCCTCGAGCATGTCAGGCGAGAAATCATTTCATAACAGGAAGGATTCGAAAGCGCTAGCTGGAGTTGTTCTAACTAAGCTTTGGTGAGCAATCTGGGGGTGTGGGGGGTCGCCAACATGGCCCGGGCCAATTCTTTTGGATTTGGGCTTGCCTGCAGAGCTAGCCTGTACCCTTGCAACAGTTTCTGCATGAAAAATGTGCGCGGCGGTGGCCCAGCCGAAGCGCGCCGAATCGTTCTGGGTCTCCCGTTGCTTGTGCGCTCCTGCTGTTTTCTAGCTGTGTGCTGCGGCTTTGCTGCAGCCCCGACCGAGGCCGAAACGCACCAAAGCACTTTGTTCGCTATTCCTTGCAGCGAGCCGCAGGCTGCTCGCGGCAGTCGCAGCTCGGCGCCGTCGCACCGCGCGGTCCTAGGTGCACAACCGGCGCGAAACGCGCGCGCGTTTCGCGCTTCTTTGTGGGTTTGTCGTACCTGTTTTGCGCTCCTGCTGCGGCCCGCTCGGCAGCGAGGCCCCGAGCAAGGCTGAAACGCACCACAGCATTGCACGCATTTGCGGGCGGGCGCGCAAGCGCGAGCGCACGCGCGCCGCACCGCCCACACATGCATCAATCGTTTCACGTTTCGGCCTTGCCGTCTTGTACGCTAGCCATTCCTGTCAACGTGACGGGGGTACGGCCCGAAACGCTGGCAAATCGACACTTGCGCTCATTGCAAATCCGTGCTTGCCGGGGTCCGTCGCGGGTTTTCCCTGTTGCTGTTTTGCGGCCTGGCGGGCATGCAGTCATTAGGAGGGAGAGGATCTTGTTGCTGAGCAGGAGGATCGGCATCCAGTTCCGCGGGGAGGATGAGTGAGGTGGAAGAAGTTGCGCACGGACAGGGCCAAGGAGCTTCCTGATGGGCTGCGGAACGGGGTCTGTCGCCAACGGGGACGGCAGGTGATGAACCGCAAGCCAATGGGCGTAAAGTGAAAGTCAAGCGCTTGAGCTGAAGCTGGAACACTTGCAAAACCTCTGGGGGTCTCATGCTCCCCGCTCTGAACTCTGCCTGGGCCTTTTCAAGCTGTCGCGGACGCCGGCGCAATCAATTCCGGATGGGCCCGCCCGGCAGTGCCAACAAATCTGCCGCCGCCTCACTTTCGAACTCGCCCGAGAATTTGGCTGCGGAACATATTTTGTTAGCAGCAATGGGCAGGGGCCATCACTGTCCCCAATGCCAGCACTGGTGCTCTGGCGCCATGCCTGTGCGAATCATTCAATCCAGTTGTTGACGGCCCAAAATGGCAACAGGCCGAAACACTCCAAATCAATTGCCGGACTCCCATTGCGCGTGCTTTTCGGGGCTTGTTGTGCCACAGTGTTTCGCGAGCGGCGCACGGTCCAAGGTCCAAGACACGGGAGGCCCAAAGTCCAAGGTAGCGCCCTGCAGCAGCTCTCGCTACCTCCCACGGCTGCAACGTGCGCAGGAACGACGTCGCTGTAGCTGCCTGGGTAGCTTGACAAATCAACACGTTTGCTACGCCGTGCTGTTGTCCAAAAAGGCAACGAAGAATCGAAATGATTTAAATCAGCGCCTTTTGCTGGGCTGCCGTACTGCCGAATCCGTGAGAAAGTTGGCAGCCGGGACCGAAGTCGGCCGAAGAAGCGCCCAAAACGGCGCACTTTTGTCGGCCTCCCGCAACCCGTGCGTTTTGGGGCTCGTTGTGGGTCTCCCATTGCTGCTTTGCAATTCGCAGCGACCCAAAACGGCCCAACCGAGGCCGAAACGCACCCAGACCAACTTTGCTCTTTGTGGTCTTCCTGTTACTGCTTCGCGCCCCGTTGCGCCAGCCATTCCGAGGCTAGCCAAGTTCTTCCGTGTCCACACGTCTCGTGCGAGCTTTCTTGAGCTAGTTGGCTCGCGCAAGCTGGCTCGTGCAAGTTTGGCTGTGGGCCTTCGGATACCGGATTTATCTGCTGACGCCCGGTGCTGCGTTTGTGCGTGGATTCCTTGGCGCAGGCAGGCTTAAGCTTGGTGTGGTCACCAACACAAGTGTAGGTAGCTGTACGGGCACCTGGTGAGATTAGTTGTCGACGTGCTACGTTTTCGTTCAGAGTACGATGATGATAACCATGATGATGAGGATGGTGATGGCGGTCATGATAACCTTTATCATAGCACCCTCTGCATCCCCAACGCTGCCTTCAACAAAAGTATAAGCTGCAAATAAAAGATAACGAAGAGCCATGATGATATCTACAAGGTAGCGACGAGCCATGATGATAAATGACCGTGATGATAAGCATCACCGTGGCATATCTTGCATCGCGAGTGGACGATTCTGATGACCATGAGGAGGATGATCACGACTGTCGTGATAGTTGTCATCATAACACCCCTGCATCCCCAACGCTGCCTAACAACACACTTGAAAGGCGCAGACATTCGTACAGTTGTATACATGTAAAAGACAACGACGACGATGATGCTGATAACTGTCATGGTAACTGTCTTTGTAGCATCCGCTGCATCCCCAACGCTGCCTAAAAATAATGGTGAGTCATGGTTCTGTATGACCGTGATGATTATTTTCATCGCTTGCATCGCAAACGGACGATGATGATGACCATGATGATGACGATGATGATGATGATGACTGGCGTAACACCTGTCATCATAGCCTCGCTTGCGTCCCCGACGCTGCTTAACGGGCCACGTGGCGCGTGTTTATGTAAAGGATAACAACGAGTCGTGACGATGTGTGACCGTGATGAAGCAACCCTGGCAACGCCTTCACGTTGCCAGGGGTGCGCCGGAAGGTCTAGGTCTAGAAGGGTGGTGCGATGAGGATGTTTGAGCTTTCCCAGCATTGCAAGCGGATGATGATGCTTCATGGTGGTGACTATGACGAGGATCGTCATGATCATGAGTATGAGTATGATGAGTAGCAACTATCATCGTAGCATCCCACATCTGTGCTTGGCAGTTCTGGTTTCGTCGCTGTGAAATCCTTTATAAACCAGGAACGGAGCCTGCCTCGGCTGGACCCCGGTACTTTGAGATGGATAACTATCATCGCAGCATCCCTGGCCTCCCAAGCTGCGACAATGATGAAAACAAAGATGATGATGGACTTCTTGCGCGTCTTGCAGGTCTGTGGTGCTGATGATGAGGATGAGGGCCCCAGCACGAATGATTATGACCACCACCCTTCCTGCGCGCCTTGCCCTTGAAGGGTCGGCGGAGTGGCGTTGAGCTATGTTGTGAACCTTCCTTGCCCGTTCCTGTGAAGCGGTTGTGTTTCTGAGATGGGCGTCGCCAAATGCCATTGGCTCTCTTAGGAAGCTACTTGGCGCGCAGCTCCATGTTCCAGAGCCCTTGGGGGAGCGCTTTCTGGCCCTCGCAGAAGGCAAGACGCGTTTCATGCCACGCACTGAAGCAAGCCTGAGGCAGAGCGCAACGACTCGAAGAGTGGCTTGTGTAGTCGAGAGACAGACTCCGCATGCGTGCTGATCTTGTTGGAGGCAACCCAGAGCAGATCCTCTCTACTGCAACCAGAGTGAACACAGCCCTGCAGGAGTGGTTGAAATGGCCTGTGGTTTGGGGTTATCGCTTGCCACAAAAAACCAACGTCCACTCGCTGGCGCCAGGATCTTGCGGACCATGGACGCTTGCTCGAAGCACATTTTTCAGAGGACCAGTCAAGCTTTGTGTTAATGCATTGAAATTGGTAGGCTTGGGTATGCATTGATCATTCCTTGATGTGTGGCCTTGAGCCAAAAGTGGCTGTTTTGAGTCAGTTCACCATGCCTTTGTTGCGTCCGGGCATCGATGTGGCGGTGCATACGGAGCTCCGGATGCTGTCCACAGCGGCGTGGTTGGGCTTTAAGCAGCACGTCATCCTTGTGCAGGCCTTGGGGGGGCCGGGTCGCCACTTTTCGGCTGTGGCAGTTGGTTGGGACGGTGCTGCATCTCCCCCCAATAAACGGGGCGAGTGGCTTTGAGGTCCCTGGGCTGCCCCCGCTTTGTTGTTGCCTTGCACTGAGGAACAGTGTCAAAGGTGCAGGGACCTTGGGGGTTTCAGATTTCCGTGGATCGGCGCCTGGACGCGGCGGCATGTCCTGGCTCAAGATGGTGAGAGCGCTTCATCCGTTTGGGCCCGACACTATCAACATCATGATGCCTTCGAGCTTCTGGGCATCGAGAGCCATCGGGTGCGCCCGAGGTACGGGCTTTGGCCCGCTTGGTCCAATGCGATGTGGACCTCGAGATGTTCCTGGTGGCGTGGAGGCGCTGGCAGGTGCCGCTAAATGGGCGTGGTGCTGCACTGGCCCATTGGTTGGGGAGGGCTGCAGTCCTGGGTTGCCTTGCCTCCGATGCTCGGCTTGCAGGGTGGTTTCCGTGTCTAGCCCTCTGCCTCGCCATGGCCATGCAGCCGCAGGGGATCTACGCCCGGCAGCACTGCGCTGGCCGAAGCCTGGCTGGAAGTGGCTCGTGGCGGAGGGACCGCCGTCAAGAAGGCCTCACAAGGTTCGGTTTTGAGGTCCTGGAGGTCCTGGCAGGGGCGCTGAGGGCTTTCGGGCCATGAGGCCGGCCGGGGAGTTGACCCCGGCCCTCAAAGTGGAATGGGAAGCTTCATGCAACGCAGGCGACGAGCCCAGCACTTGGTCACCTGCTCGGAGCGGGCGACCATCATCAACGCCCTCAAGACCTGGGCTGAGGCGCGTGCGCATATGGAAGGGAGGGGTCGACCGCTCCCTCCTCAGCATGTGGATGTCGACTCCTTCTTTCAGTATGGAGCTTCGGCACCAGCGCGGGCTATGGCCTTGTTGAAGTGGTTGGTCAAGCAGGCCAAGCTCCCATTTGGACCTGAGTGCGGTCCAGCTCCAGGGCAAGCAGCAGTGGCAGGGCCACCCATGGCTCCCGACGCTGGAGGACATGATCGTGTCCAGGTACCAAGCCAACAACCCGGCACGGTCAGCCCTGCTTGGGTCATGGCTGACAGGCACCGGAGTCCTGCGCTACAAGCGCATCATGAGGTCGCAGCCAAGGCGATTGAGCCACTCCACCTTCCATGGACGTTGCTCCAAAGGCAAGCAACGACAGAACACGCAAGGGTTTGACTTCTGTGCCCCAGCGGTGTTCGCCAATGGTTGGCCTTGGGGGCAGATCGTGCTGGCCAAGTGGCAGCGCTTGCCGGGCCAGGTGCGTGGCAGCAGCGGCCTCTGTCATGAGGGAGGCCTTTGGGCACCACCTGGGGTCCACCAGACCAGGCGATGTTGTCGCTGGGCGACTGGCAGGACAATTGGGCAAGGAGAAGCAGAGCTCAGCGAAGATGGCGCTGCGTTACTCCGCGGCAAGGTACGCCCTTTCACTGCGCACCAAGCACAAGGTCTTCACGGTCGCGCATGCTCTGCAGTCCTTTGATGCCTGGGAGGTGATCCCGCCGGAGGCTGTGGAAGCGGTGATGCCGGAGGCGGAGAAGGCAGTTGGAGCCGCGGTTGCACAAGACAGTGCGGCCTTGTGGACTGCGCCGGCGGAAAAGGCGGATATCCAGAAGCGCCTGGTGATGTTGCGGAAGCGCCAGAGCACAACCGCGGTTCGCCAGGCTAGCGGTCGCAGGCGGGGATCGCACGAGGAGATGCCCAGCGCCATCGGGGGCAACCTGCTGTGTGCACGGTGGCAGTCTGGGTCATGCGCTAAGTCTGAGGAGGAGTGTGGCCGCAGGCATCAGTGTGCCATCATCTCACGCACGGGTCGGGTGTGTGGAGGGAACCACGCAGCCGCAGAGTGCAGAGATAAGCGCTGGGTGAGCGCCGAGGTGGAGGCAGCCCAGCCAGTGCTGCTGCGACCGGCGACCAAAGCCAGGCCTCGAGGTGTGAGTGACACACCGAGCTCGTCAACCGCGAGACCAGCCTCGCCACCCACCTTGCCGACAACGTGGAGGCAGCGATGGTCGAGCGGAGGGACCGCGAGTTTGATCGGTTGGCCACAGGCAGGGGCAGGCTCCCACCTGGACCTTCAAGAGCGAAGCTGGGGGGAAGTTGTGGCTGTCGGGTCTCCCCTTGGAGTCGACCCAGGAGCACTTCCCGGACGTCAACCTGCAGGTCTGTTGCTTTCCGAAGGGTCCCGAGTCAAGTCACGGGGGGAGTCCAGCTTCCCAACACCTACCTGATGACCTTCCCCATCGTGCACGCTGATGCGGACTTCAAGACCATGTTTGAGGCAGTGCGGACCACCTTGTGGGCAGGAGAGCATGCCCTCCTTCATTGCATGGCGGGGCGCCACGGGCTCGGCCATGCATAACCTCTGCTTGCCAGCGACAGCAATGCGCTGCAAAATTGGCTAGGCTGAAACGCCTCAGATCCTCCACGATGCCGGCGCTCTCCTAAGGCAAGCCTCGCATCGCTCGTGGCTGAAAGCCATGGCCTCGCGCAAGGTGGCCACCACCTCCCCAGGCGTGCCACGCCTCGGCCCGCTTGCCGTTGCTGGCACAGGGCATCGATGAACCCAAGTAGCCCCGAGGAACCGGCCAAGGGTTCCCGATCCGCGTCGGTCAGCCATCTGAGGACTGCCCCGACCTCCACATTGCGCATACAGCTGAGCATCTCGATGGCGCCATCCAACGGAATGTCCAGGAGGCACACGTTACTGTGAGTCTTCCGCAGTGTGAAAGATGTGTCGGTTGCGGGGCAGGGAGCGTTCAGCTATCGGGCGCAGTTTGAACGTTGGGGGGAGGGCCCGCCGGGTAGGCTGGGTGTGCTCCCTCTCCCCATTTCCCCCCCTTTTTCAGATCATCCACGTTGCATAGCTGTTTCAAATCCCAACATCAAACCATAGGTCATGAAGGGATGGCACGCGATGGTTGGGGGGTACGGGTGTGCCCCTTCGATCCACCGGGTGGCCCGGCCATGGCGGGATACCCTTGCTGCTATATCATTTTAACCAAACCGCAGGGCGCGGTGTGGGAAGGGTCGCCAGGGAGGCGGTACACCCTTCCTCCTCCTTTTTCTGGCAGGGCGCCAGAGTTATTCCTGAGGGGCAGTGCCTGTCAGGGTGGCAGGCCGGTACCCTCAGTCGCATTAGTGTCGCGCATTCCCGCCCCTGGCAGGTGGCCTCCTGGGCAGGCAGCCTACTGTTCGGAGGATGGCGGACGATGGTAAGATTCCTCAGGAAGGGGGGACCTTCGCTGAGACAGCTGCTTGGCTGGGGGCGAATTTCAACCTGGCGGATGAAGTGGTGCAAGCATTGATCGACACCAAGATGCAGAACTTGAAAAAAGTTCCGCTTCTACTTCGAGGACATCTCTGGCTCACTCGCATTCAGCTGGGCGAGGGCAAGGCATTGCAGGTGGCGCGTTTGCGCCGGGCCTGGTCGCAGTGAGCGTCTACCTCCAACAGCGGCTGACTTGGAAGCATTGTTGGGGGGACAACGAGCTTCGGGAGGTCAAGGCAGCGGTCTGGAAGCGGTACCGCCAGCGCTACCCCCCTGATCTACACCCATCGGATTCGACGGTCTCCCGGGTTTGACGCGAGATGGTTAGCCGGACGCTGCGCGTGTTTGAGTTGAGCCGAGTGCGCTCGCTCCAGCAGCAGCTGTTGGCCTCCAGCCGCAAGAGGAAACTTGCAGAAGGGCTCTACGTCGAGGAGGACGAGTCTTCGACCTTGGCCGTGGTGGCCCCGGAGGCCGAGACCTACCTGCAGCAACTCTTCATGCTGATGCTGGCTTATGCATTTGCCGGAGTCCATCCTAAGGTGGGAGCACCTGATGCATCGACCGAGATGTTGAGTGCGGACTCCACTGGGTTTGTGCAGGTACCCCTGGATGTCATGCTCGCCCTACTACCGGGCCCGCAGGACAGCCCTGATGATCCCTCAGTCGAGGAGACTGGGCTGGCTGCAGCAGCGCGACGTGGAAGAGCGCGCTGAATGGGTTGCTCGCTTCCGAAAGAAGTCGACTCGGACGCTGGGGGAAGGATCGTGTCCCCACGGAGTCGAGTCTCCCTACCCCTTCGGCACCGGCGGCGTCCAGGGAGGACCCGGGCAGCCAGCTGATGATGGGGAAGCCCATCAACGGCAAACAGGTGGCCAGGATCATGCGCGACGGGACCAAGCCGTGCGGAGCCATGCTGAAGGGTAACCGGGCGGTAACCTCTCATGGAGCCAGAGCATGCAGAGCCAAGCATTGAGGGGGCTGGGGGGCAGGAGGCCGCCTTTGCTAGGGAAAGAGGCCCAATCACCAAAACAACCCCCCTTATGGCCGATTTGATGTCCAAAGCATTCCTGTGGTGTGGCTGGCGGACATTGACAGTGGACTGGCTACTGGATCCAGCACACGATCTAGCGAATCCGCATCGGCAAGTGTCTTTGGCGGACCAGTTGCAGGAAGTTGACTTCATTGCGGCAGCGCTGGGACTGCAGTACTAAGTCCCGAGCTCGTGAGATACCCCGCAAATTTGCAGACAGTCGACCAGCTCATCGCCCACTTCGCTCAGGGGAAGAGGTACTTCCCGTCCCATGAAGAAGCTGAGTGTACAGCGCCGCGGTAACGGCTTCCGGGTGGCGTGGGACGCGCCAAGTTGCATGTGCCGCGCATACCTCAGCCTTGAGTGTACAGGCGCGGGAGCACTGGCTGGACTTCAATCCCAAGGCCTTGGGAGAATGGGGCATGGAACCTTTAGTCAGCTCAACGAGCAGGTTGCATCTATGTGGGTAGAGGCCACCACTCGCATCGCCTGCCGGGCGTCGCCATGGACCCCGGGTAGATTGCCGGGAGGATGAGTGGGCAGCTTTGTATATTCAGCACATCCTGCCGTCCGATTTGGTCTGCGACCTCTCGGCCTTGCAGGGCATCACCTTGGCTTGCGATTGCCCTGGGACTGCTTGTGCGAAGCAGATCTGCTGGCAGGCCTCGTTGGCGGGGATGCTGGGGCAGGCTCGAGCAGGCGTACCACAGTGGAGTCAAGAGGCATTGGTGCTGGCTTTTCGGAAACTCTTCCCAGAAAACTGGTTCCACAATTTTCGGTTCCCCATGGTGGTTGATCAACTCTTCACCAATCTCTGCCTTTCTCAACTGGCGGAAAGAGGCAAGATATGAATGGGATGGGCCGCCCGGCCCGCACTTGGCCGGGGCAGGTGTTCGCCTATGGCAGAGAGTGACCGAGGGCCAGCAAGGAGGGTCCTTGTCGCACAAATTGCCGGCGCCGTTTGCCCAGCATCTGCCTCCTCCGCCGCAGGGGCTGCGACAAGCGGCTCAGCAGGCGGCGCAGCAGCTGCCTTGGACTTTGCCTTGGCCTTCGGCCGGCTTGTCCGCACTGCAGGTGCCTCCTCCTCCTCCACAGGGGCTGCAGCAGGCGGCACAGCGGCTGCCTTGGCTTTTGCCTTCGGGCGGCTTGTCCGCACTGCAGGTGCCTCCTCCTCCACAGGGGCCGCAGCGTCAGCAGGCGGCACAGCGGCGGCCTTGGACTTTGCCTTGGCTTTCGCCTTTGGGCGGCTTGTTGCCCCCTCCTCCTCAGGGGCTGCAGCATCAGCAGGCGGCGCAGCAGCTGCCTTGCACCTTGCTGTCCCTTTCGCTTTCGGACGGCTTGTCTCAGGGGCTGCAGCATCTGCAGCAGGCGATCAGCCGGCATCCACTCCCTATGCAACAGGAGACAGTCTTGGACGAGGACCTGGAGTTTGCAGCCCACCCACTTTCGCGGTAAATTGCGCGAGTTGCGCCAAGAGGCCATATCAATCCTGCGCGAGTTGCAAAGCAGATGGCGGCCGGTGGGCCGCCAGCTCCGATCTTTCCAGAGTGAGGCCGTCCACAGAGTTACTGCAAGACGCGATTTTGGCTTTACTGCCTTGCTCATCGTCCTGCAATCCTGGGTAGACACCTCGTACCCTTTTGGCCTGGTGCGCGGTCTACCAGCAGTTGGCTTCGCTCCCCATTATGGTGTTTTCCCGCAACAGCCAGCGGACATGATTTCGCAGCAGGAAGTTTTGGAAGGGTTGGGGCACAACCACGCCATACTACAAACTTTACGTGCAGGCAAAGATGATGAGGCGCTGTTGGCGCAGTCCGAAGTTGATGCCGCAGCTGGGTTTTGCACTCCGCCTCTCACTCAACAGCAGTTGCAAGCAGTCCTGCAACAGCGACCGTATCGGTTCATTCCACGCTGTATCATTGTGCGATCCTCAGGGAAGAAGCGCGCCATTGACAACGCGGACGCCGGCGGACAATCCGAGCGGCTGTCATGAGGCACATGACAGCAGCGCAGGCTGCAGAGTCTCAGGGCGATGGTTGGGAGTCAAGCAGAGAAGACTGGCCCAATGCCTACAGACACTCACCCATGGGGGACGAAGTCCCTCGGGTGCGTCGTGGCGTTCTTCCATCATCAGTGGGGCCTCCCCGCCTTTCAGGTTTATGGCAGGCTTCTTTTGGGGTTACCGCCTTCAATCGGTTTTCACGGCTGGTAGAGAGTCTGGCTAGGCGACTGGTGTACGCGCTTTGTACCCTTTACTTCGACGATGCCAACATCACAGACTGGTGCAGCAGCAAGGGCAGTGGCCAGTGGGCTCTCAACAAGCTCAAGCTCCTTGGAACCCGCTTTGCTGCCGAGAAGCACCAACTCATGGCTCTGGATGGGACCTTTCTGGGTCTCGACCACCATTTGGGCACGGTGCACACCGAAGGAGTTGTTCGGCTCTGGGCTTGCGAGCGCTTGCAGGAGAAGCTGATGGGCTACGTCCGAGCATGCCGGGATAATGATTGCTTGCCTCCAGGGCAGGCATCTACGGGCTGGCCGGTGTTCGGCCGGGTCGGGCCTTCCGGGCTGAATGCCATCAAAGACCGGCAGGCTGAGAGGGTGACTCAGCTTACCCCTGCAATCAGGGGTTGCCTCGACGTGCCGGAAGCAGTCATCCGCAGCAAGCCCATGCGGGAGGTCGAGGTGACCTGGCGCGAGGTGCCGCGCTTCTTTGCGGCATCGGACGCGGCTTTGGAGGCCCCGAGGTGCGGGACCGGATTGTGTGGGTTGACACACATGCCCAAGGCCGGGAAGGCTTCGTGGCTTGCCTCCCGCCGACGTTGTGTGACTTGTGCCGGGCGACCACAAGATCGCCCAGCTGGAGCTGCTGATGGTTCAGTATGCTCTGGTAGAGAGGGCGCAAAGTTTCAGGGGCAGGAGAGGGGTTTGGTACATTGACAACGTGGCCTCCCTGATGGCCCTGGTTCGCGGGCGCTCCGATAGCCAGCCCTGATCTGGATTTGATGGTCCGCCAGATCCATATCATGCTCTTTGCCCTTGGCTCTTGGTTTTACTGGGAGTGCGTCCCCGGTAAGAGCAATTGGGCGGACGCCACAGCCGGCTGGGCCGGGCAGATCCGTGGCACAGAGCTAATGCCGACGCCTTTTTCCCGTTCGAGTTGTGGCAGTTGCCGCTACATGCCTTGGTGCTCGTCATGCAGTTCCTATGAAGTGCTTTGGGGTAGTGCGTAGGGAGATTCCTGGACAGGATGTCCATGATGCTTGAAAGACATCCCAAAGCAAATCCCTGGAACTGCATTGCATCTAGCCGGCAAGAGAAAAGAGGCGTGCTCCGTTTTAAGTGACACACACAGGAATGTTGAGCGTGCGACGCCGACTCAGAGAAAGTGCGAAGGACCCCGGGGCAGCACCGCCGCAGGTGCTGCAAGTGCCGCAGCAGCTGTTGCACCCGCAGAAGCTCCAGGATGGGAGTTCGGCTCAGGGACAATAGTAGCATGGTCTCGTACAGGCGGCGCCAGGAGAAGCGGTTGCGCAGCATGAAGCCACCACCTGCAAGAAAACTTATAGGAACGCTAGATTGCTTGTTCTTGCCGTTGCAGTTCTTACTGTGTTTTTGTTGTCGTGGGCATTGCCTGACCTTGAAGATCAAGCAGGGCAAAATGGGTTGTGGCAGGCACCGCCGTTCTCAAGCATCCTCACGGTGTCTGATTCAACAACCGTTCATTCATCAACCGCGCATTCAACAACCGCAACTTGACATTTTTTGGGCCCGCGCTTTTGAAGCTGCTGGGTGTGAATGTTTCATTGTTGTTTCACACTCTTCAATGTGTGGAACAACGCCGTAGCTTGTTTGTGATGAGTAGTGTCTATGCAGCGCGCCGCTTTGGTTGTTTGGGTGAGACCACAGGCTGCGCAGGGGCACACTTGGCTCAATACAACTTGAGCAGAAGAGGCGCATCACTCTTATTATCGAGAAGATGTGTTGCGCAAGTGGATACATTCTTCACGCCGGCTTTGCGTGAGCGGTCTGGGGCGGAAGCTTGGCCGGGGACTGGTAGCGACAGCCAGCGCGGCAGGCTGCATCACCTGCGCAAAACGCACCGCCCTTTCCTGGCCCCCAGCTTTCGGCAACGGGTTACTTTTGCGTTCCGGATGAGCAAAAGCCTCAGGAGCAGACGCAGCGCGTGCTGCAGGAACGTTTTCAGCCGCTGGCGGGGCAGCGGCCTTAACGCAAGCTTGTGCACGTGACATAGTTTTTCTTGTGTGACCCACAGCATCCCATCAATTTCGCCTGACTTCTTGTCCACAGCACCGCGTACTCACTTTTGTTCACGGCATTGCAAACGTTGCCTGGCTTCTTTTCCAAAGTGTCGCAAACTTTGCCTGACGTCTTGTTCACAGCATCGCCGCAAACTTTGCCTAACTTTTTTCGCAGCATCGTCGCAAACTTCGCCTGGCTTCTTGTCCACAGCGCCGCCGCAAGCTTTGCCTGACTTGTTGTCTACAGCATCGCTGCGAACTTTGCCTGATCGCAAGCTTCGCCTGACTGCTTGTTTAGAATATCGCTGCAAACTTTGCCTGACTTCTTGTCCACAGCGTCGCCGCAAACTTTGCCTGGCTTCTTGTCCACAGCGTCGCCGCAAACTTTGCCTGACTTCTTTCCCGCAGCACCGCCGCAAACTTGTTTGACTTCTTGTCCACGCGTTGGCGCAAACTTTGCCGAACATCTTGTCCACAGCATTGCCGCAAAAAAAAGCCTGATTTCTTGTCCACAGCATCGCCGCATCACCGCAAACTTTGCGAAACTTCTTGCCCGCAGCATTGCTGCAACTTTTGCCTGAAGCCCGACTTCTTGTTTGCAGCTTCGCAAACTTTGCCTGACCACTTGCCCGCAGCGTCGCCAACCTTGCCTTACTTCTGGTCCACAGCGTCGCAAACTTTGCCTCACCTCTGGCCCACAGCGTCGCAAGTGTTGGCTGACTTCTTGTCCACAGTGCCGCCGCAAACTTTGCCGAGCTTCTTGTCCAGGGCGCTGCAAACTTTGCCTGACATCTTGTCCACGGTGTCGCAAACTTTGCCTGACTGCCTGTCCACAGCATCGCAAACGTTGCAAGACTGCTTGTCCAAAGCATCGCAATCTTTGCCTTACTTCTGGCCCACAGCGTCGCAAACTTTGCCTGACTCCTCCACTAGGCTCCAAGTCGCGAGTTACTTAGGCCGAATGAGCCAAGAATATTTTTGGTGTCGCGCGGACAGGATATCTCAGAGCGTGAAAGCTCACGAGTTTTCACGGCTTTTTCACGCGGTAGTAACGGCCTTTCAGATGCCCGCGCGAGTTATCACGGCCATTCGGCCGAGTTTTCACAGCTTTACGCTTGCCAACGAGCGCAAGTGGCCGAGGAGCCTCCTGGCTTGTCCGCAGCATCGGCGCAAGCTTTCCTAACTACTTGTCCAGAACATTGCAGCAAACTCTGCCGTGCTTCTCGTCAACAGCGCCTCCGCAAACTTTGCCTGACAACTGGCCCACAGCGTCGCAGGCTGACTTCTTGTCCACAGCGTCGCTGCAAGCTTTGCCTGGCTTCTTGTCCACAGCGCCGCGAGTTTTTGGTTTTTGCCGCGAGTATTACAATCTTTGCCTGACATCTTGTCCACAGCGTCGTAAACTTTGCCTGACCACGTGTTTGCAGCGCCGCAAACTTTGCCTGACACCTTGTCCACAGCATCGCCGCAAACTTTGCCTCACTTCTTGCCGACAGCATCGCCGCAATCTTTGCGTGTGCTTAGTCCTCAGCATTGCCGGGCACTTTGCCTGACTTCTTGCCCACAGCATCGCCGCAATCTTTGCGCGTTTTTCTGACAGCAAACTTCGCCTGTCCACAGCATTGCCGCAAACTTTGCGTGACTTCTTGCCCGCGCTCTGCCTGACTTCTTGTCCAGAGCGCCGTCGCAAAATTTGCCTGACATGCTTGTCCAACGCGTCGCCGCAAACTTCGCTTGACTTCTTGTCCACAGCATCGCCGCAAACTTTGCCTGACTCTTTGTCCACAGCATCGCCGCAAACCTTTCCCGCCTTTCTGCCCACAGCATCACCGCGCACTCTGCCGGACTTCTTGTCGAGAGCGCCGTCACAAACTTTGCCTGACTTCTTGTCCGCAGCATCGTCGCAAACTTCGCCTGGCCTCTTGCCCCCGGCGTCGCCGCAATTTTTGCCCAACGTCTTGACCGCAGCGTCGCTGCAAACTTTGCCTGGCTTCTTGTCCACAGCGCCGCGAGTTTTTGGTTTTTGCCGCGAGTATTACAATCTTTGCCTGACATCTTGTCCACAGCGTCGTAAACTTTGCCTGACCACGTGTTTGCAGCGCCGCGAACTTTGCCTGACATCTTGTCCGCGGCATTGCCGCAAACATCGCCTTACTTTTTTGACCACAGCGTCGCAAATTTTGCCTGACTTCTTGTTCATATCGCCGCCAGACTTTGCGTGACATCTTGTCCACAGCATCGCCGCAAACTTTGCGTGTTTTTCTGACCGCAAACTTCGCCTGCCCACAGCATTGCCGCAAACTTTGCGTGACTTCTTGCCCGCGCTCTGCCTGACTCCGGAGCGCCGTCGCAAAGTTTGCCTGAGATGCTTGTCCAACGCATCGCCGCAAACTTCACTTGACTTCTTGTCCACAACATCGCCGCAAACTTTGCCTGACTCTTTGTCCACAGCATCGCCGCAAGCTTTTCCCGACTTCTTGCCCACAGCATCACCGCGCACTCTGCCGGACTTCTTGTCGAGAGCGCCGTCCGCAAACTTTGCCTGACTTCTTGTCCGCAGCATCGTCGCAAACTTCGCCTGGCTTCTTGCCCCCGGCATCGCCGCATTTTTTGCCCAACGTCTTGACCGCAGCGTCGCCTCGAACCTTGCCTGACTTCTTGTCCGCAGCATCGCCGCAAACTGTGCCTGACCTTTCTTCGCAGCAGTTTCGCAAACTTTGGCTGACTTCCTGAGCACAGCGTCGTCGCAATCTTTGTCTGACTTTTTGTCCAGAGCGTCGCCGCAAATCCGGCAGCACGTAGGGAAAGGAAAGAAGGAAAGAAGGGAAGGAGGAAGAGAGGTGATGAAGGGACGCGGGTGTGTAATTCTTGATCTCACTGTCACCCATTTCTCCTCACAACTACCGGCCGTGTATTTGGGATCTTTGTGACGGCAGGCCCATTCCTTTACATATCCTGCCTTTTCAATCCCATTCTAATTCATAAGCTGAAGGCGGATATGAGACCAATGGGCGGGAATTAGATACGAAGTTTATAATTCCTGTCAACGAAGGAAAGGGTAAACTCACATGGAAAGACCCGGAAGATGCTGGGAAGAGAGGTAATTCATGAAGGCTCTCCACTGTTCATTCTCTTTGTCTTTTGTTTTTTGTCTTTTGTCTTTTTCTTTCACTTGCACGCCCCATCAGTTAATCCAAATGGAAGAAGAAGTGGGGCGTGAAGACCAAGGAAAGGAAAGAGACTCAACTGGAGAGTTATACCGCCAGCAAAGGCAAATCCCAGGTTCTAAGATGCTTTTATTTTATGATTTACTTTCTATCTCTGGGTAGTTCTTTATCTCGCAGTTCTTCTTCATCCTTGCATCGCCCGCTATTTTACTGGGTAAGCGATGCCAGGGAAGAAGAGAACAAGAAAATCAATAATAAACAGACAAGATATGAGAAGTTAATATTTATGTCTCCTTCATTTTACATCTTCCTTGTTCGCTCTCATTCCTTCCCTTTCTCTACCTTAGCATTTCTCTGCTCCTGAGGTTAGAGAAGAGGATGAAAAGGTAAGGAAAGTAAAAAGACAAGGAAGAAGTAATAAAATAGATTGCAAATAAAAAAAGAAAATAAAGATGGAATGCTCTGGGAGCACCATCGATATTAACTGCTATTTTTATCTTCTCTAAATTCAGGAACTAATATGATGGGAAACGCATCATGAGTTCATATCTGACAATTATTTCACAAGGCCAAGTTGCCACAAACTTTGCCTGACTTCTTGTCCACAGCATCGCCGCAAACTTTGCCTGACCTCTTGTCCACAGCATCGCCGCAAACTTTGCCTGACTTCTTGCCCGCACTCTGCCTGACTTCTTGTCCAGAGCGTCGTCGCAAACTTCGCTTGACTTCTTGCCCGCAGCATCGCCGCAAACTTTGCCTGACTTCTTGCCCACAGCATCGCCACAAGCTTTGGTTGATTTCTCGCCCGCAGCACTGGCGCAAACTTTGCCCGACTTCTTGCCCACGGTATTGCCGCGCACTCTGCCGGACTTCTTGTCCAATGCGCCTTTGCAAACTTTGCCTGACTGCGTCGCTGCCTGACCTCTTTTCCACATCGTTGCCGCAGACTTTGATTGACTTCTTGCCCACAGCGCTGCCGCAAAATTTGCCTGACTTCTTGTCCACAGCATCGCCGGAAACTTTGCCTGAATTCTTGCCCCCTGCAACGCCGCAAGCCTTTCTTGAGTTCTTGCCCGCAGCATCGCTGCACACTTTGCCCGGTTTCGTGCCCGCAGCGTCGTCGCAAACTTTGCCTGACTTCGTACTCCGTGTCTGCAGCATCGCCGCGAACTTTGCCTAACGTCTTGTTCGCAGCATCGCCTCAAACTTTGCCTGACTTCTTGTCCAGACCGCCGTCGAAAACCTTGCCTGACGTCTTTTTGTCCACAGCATCGCCGCAAACTTTGCCTGGCGTCTTGGCCACAGCCCCGCCGCAAACGTTGCCTGACTTGTTGACAGCATCGCCGGAAACTTTGCCTGACTTCTTGTCCACAGCATCGCCGCGAACAATTCCTGACCTCGTGTCCACAGCATCGCCAAAGACATTGCCTGACTTCTTGTCAACTTTGCCCGACTTGTTGTCCACAGCGTCGCCGCGAACTTTGCGAAACTTCTTGCTCGCAGAATTGCTGCAACTTTTGCCTGAAGCCTGACTTCTTGTTCGCAGCCTCGCCGCAAACTTTGCCTGACTTCTTGTCCACAGCGCTGCCGCAAGCTTTCTGACTGCATCGCCGCATACTTCGCCTGACTTCTTGTCCACAGCGTCGCTGCAAAACACCTCGCGGGATTTTCTGCCCGCAGCATTGCCGCAAACCTCACTTTAGTTCTTTTTCACGGCATCTCAGCAAGCTTTGCCGGACTTCTGTTCCACAGCATTGTGGCAAACTTTAGAGCCTCCGGCTCAGTCCGC